CCCAAACACTAGCTCTCAGCTATGCAATACTAATTTGTATTGCAGTTATTTGGGTGTACATATTAATTAGTATACCGCTTTGTTTTCTGAAGTGTGTTCCACAGAACAGATACGCTTTGGGTCATTTCCAGATGTTATATAAAGTTTCAGAAGGTTCTGTGGCCATATGGTCTTGGGAAATGGGTAAACACTGGGCTTGTCTATATCAGAACATCTAAGAGAAATAAAGATGCCATTGAGAATTAAGTACTGCCTTGGAAGAAATGATATAGTCTGGAAAGTAGACTGTGACCTGCTCTAAGTTATATGAAACTGACTTTCCAGCTTTTCCTGGCTGTTGGGGCTAGTTTACCTTGACATAAACTAGAGTCACTGGCGAGGAGGGAGCCTCAATAGAGAAAATGCCTCCATAATATCAGGCTGTAGGCAAGCCTGTGAAGCATCTTCTTAATTAGTGATGATGGGGAAGAATCCAGTACATTGTGGGTGGAGCCATCCCTGGGCTGGTGGTCCTGAGGTGGTGCTGGAGAATTGTCTGTATTCTGTCAATCATGTTTTAAATAAACGCTGATTGGCCAGGCAGGAAGTGTAGGTGGGTCCACCAGACAGGAAGTAGAGGCAGGGCAATGAGAACAGGAGTATTCTGGGAAGCAGGAAGCTCCCTCCCAGTTCTACCCAGATCACCAAAGAAGCAAGATGTGAGCTGCCCTGCTGAGAAAGGTACTGAGCCATGTGGCTAACATAGATAAGAACAATGGGTTAATATAAGCTACAAGAGCTAATAAGTAACCTGAGCTAATGGGCTAATGGGCCAATCAGTTTTATAACTTATGGAGATGTGTGTGTGTGTGTGTGTGTGTGTGTGTGTGTAGTGTATGTATATGTATATATTTGTATATATTGTACAATTTTATATATGTTATACATAAACATACACACATATACATACAAAAATTAAAAAGAAAAACTATTCATAAACAAAAGCCTAGAAGCTAGAAAGATGATTCATTGGATATGAGCACTGGCTACTCTTTCAGGGCACCCACATGGTAGCTCACAATCATTTCTAATTCCATCCCCAGAGGTTCTGTGGGCATGAGGCATACCCATGGCATGTAGAAAAAACACCCACACAGGTAAATTTATTTATTTATTTATTTAAGGCAGGGCTTCTCTGTGTAACCACCCTGGCTGTCCTGGAACTCCATCTACAGATCATCTGCCTGTCTCTGCCTCCTCCTAGTGCTGGGATTAAAGGCATGCGCTGCCACCACCCAGTGATACTTTTTTTTTTTAAAAAAAAAAGAAAGCCTGGGCCTAGATAGCTTCCTAGTTAAATTTAACAAAGTTACAATTAGGCACTCTCCAACACAATGGAAATGCATAACCACTGGGTCAGAAATGGACTGCTGAAGGCCAAGGGAGGACAGGGCTGGGAGGGGCAAATGGGAGAGATGTTTCTGGGTCACCTGTCCACCTACATTCCTATTGGGCTAGAACAAAGTTGGTTCTGGATCTGCTGGACATGGGCTCTGTGACACTTGTTGTCTAATCAGACATTGTACTGCTGTGTGGTGTGTATGTGTGTGGTGTGTGTCTCTGTGTGTGGTGTGTATGTGTGGTGTATGTGTGGTGTGTGTGTGTGTGTGTGTGTGTGTGTGTGTGTGTGTGTGTGTGTATTTGGTATAGGGAACTGAATAGAAGGCCTCATGCTTGCTAAACACGAACCCTACCTAACATCACCCCCTTCTCACCTCTCCTCTTTTGCCTTCTCCCTTTTCTTCTTGCTGTGTGGACCAGGCTGGTGTAATCTCCCTGCCTCCTCTTCTCACCTGGGATCACAACTATTCCTGGTCCCCAGTCCTTTTCTACTTCATTTTGAGACAGTCTCTTTGTTGACTAGGTTGGCCTTAAACTTGTGATCCTCCTGCCTTAGCCCCCTGAGCAGCTGGAATTATAGGTGCAATGGTTGCCATGTAAACCAACGGATGTCTGAAGACAAAAGCAATGCAGTCATACCTTAGCGAAACCTAACTCAAACTGCATGCTGGATGTAAATATATGTTAAACATTTATGAATAAAATGAGAGAAATTTTTTGGATCTAAGGTGGGAGGGACAAAGACTTCGAAAGTCAGTTCATTAAAGGAAAAAACATAAACTGTAGTTCATCAAAGCTGAAATGCTACTCTGTAGAAAGTGTTTTGAAGTTAGAAAAACAAGTTACATATTGGGAGAAAATATTTGTAAACCACGTATTACAGAAGAGAATAGTATCTGGGATATATCAAGAATGTTCAAAACTCAAGAATACAAAATCCAATCCAATCAGAATCTGAGTAAAAAGACATCCCACTAAAAAGAATACACACACACAAACAAATATTGAAAAGAGTCAGGCTTATCAGTAAATAGTGAAAAGTAAATTAAAACTACAGCGAGGGATGGGGAAGATGGCTCAGCTGGTGAAGGGACCTGTTGCCACCAACCCTGATGACTTAAGTTTAATCCACAGGCCCCACATGGTGGAAGGAGAGAACCCATTCCTGAGTTGTCCTCTGGCCTCCACACAGGTGTTACACAATTGCATGTACATACACACACATACAAACATGCAATAATAATAATAATAAGTGTTTTTAAACTATAGTGGGATATTTCTGTACATCAGAATGGCTAAAATAAAAAAATAGCGACATTACGAGACGCTGATAGACAGATCACATATGGTGCAGCAACACAAAGTGGGTTATTCGCTCTGAAAAACAGTTTGGCAGTCTCTTACAAACTGCACGCGCCACTACTGTAGACTGAATTAGTGATTAAGAAAAAGGAACTTCCTGCAAAGAAAACAGTAGGTCCAGATGGTTTCACCACTGAATTCTACCAGACATTTAGAGAAGGATTAGTGGCAAATTTTCACAAATACCTCAGGAAATGTTTCCCAATTCATGTTTGAAGCCAGTACTACCTGATGCAAAAATCAGACATCTGAACATGGTCTTTAAACAGCCAAACACGCCTTCAAACAGAAAAGTGCTAACACTTGCTTCCTTGTTTTGACAAACTTTCAAATAAAATTTAACTTAAAATAAAGCTCAGCAAGTTTTTGCTGAATAGCTTGTAATCACAATGGTTATTATAATATTTAATATAGTATATTACACACAGGCTATGTGGCTTTAGTGTCTTATGCATCTCCTATAGCATTGGGTCTATGTAGGTCCCCTAAACACTCGGATCACAGGAATGTGACATCACACCTTGCATAAGGCTGTTTCTTGTGTGGGTTTTCGATTTGGCTTTTAGACAGGTCTTGCCACGTATGCCAAGGTGGCCTAGACAGATGCGGACACCAGGCTCCCAAGGGCTGGAGTGAGAAGCGTGCACCTGGACTCCAACTCCTTGAGAAGATTTATCATTAAGGATGTGCAGTCATTCTCTGTGGTCTTAAATTTAAATTTATTTTGTGTGTATGTATATGCCGTGTGCCAGGATGCATTTGTCAAGGCCATCTCATCAGTCTAATATGATTTTTTTTTGAGAGAGAGAGAGAGATGGATAACCAGTGTTCACTCTTCAGTTAGGAACCATATTACCTTGGCTAAGTCACCTTCCATTCTCCAAAGCATGGTTTTTCTCTCTGTATAATGACAAGAAAAGAGATTTCAGAGCTGGGACAGTTCCATTAATGAATGGCATGTATCCAGCCTATGATTTTAAAAAACTACCCTTTATTACTAAGTATGACAAAAAATAAATGCCTTAGTTCTCATTTTACATTGTGGTCTCTCAAATAGAAATTTACAAACCCGTCCTTTATGCAGCATTTCCTCAAGCCCTCAGTTGTGTAGCAGAGGTAGAGGGAAGACTGAAGAAACCATCGAGATCATTTAGCTAACCTGCCGCTCAGAATCTTCACTGTGTCCTAGTCAGCTGACAGGCGTTTGATTATACGGGCCTTCTCTCAGAGCAACGCCATCAAAGCGCAAGGACGAGGCTTCGGCAGGAGGAGAATCTAGTCCCGAACTCTGGCAGCTACACATCTCTTCAGCATCTTCATTCTTCTGTTACAATGTGTGGAGCTGAAGCTTTGTTTCCCTCGGGTCTCCCCAGTCTGAGGATACTCACCTGGCTTTGCTTTGCCCTCATGGGCACACACCAGCCATTGAATACACTGGTAATAAGAAAAAAAAAATCAAAACGACAATGGCTTCCCGTCATTTGTTTGAGAACAGTATTCGCCGTAGTTTTTTCTCCAGTATCTTTCAGACTCCCAAAGAGAACCCTGAAAACACAAACACCTCCATTTTCTTGATCTGAAGGTTATTAGGTCGGGTGTCTACTGTGATTAACAGGTAGCCCTTGGAGTGTTGCTTAAAGATAGTTTCAAATTAGGCAACATAGACGGTGAGTCTGGCCATTTCTATTTTATAACGATGAATTAGCTTAAAAATGTTTACTACTATAGCAGCTTGGAGTGGCTGGGCACGCCTATGATCCCAGTACTTGGAAGGAGTTCAAAGCCAAGCTGGCATTCATAAGGAGACCAGCTCCAAACCAAACCAACCCCACACCCACCCCATTCAAAAGCCAAGAATTTCGTGTTGGCATCCCTGCTCTGAGTTCTTGACGTTTAAGCTTTATGTAGCTCTGATATTCGCCTTTCGCCCATCCCATCACTTCATCAAAGTCGGGCTGGGAAAGAGTTCTTTCAGAACCCACCCACCCATCCCAACACGTCCACAGCCATGGCAACCCCAGGCCAAGACGTCTCCCCGGCTCCGCGGCTGCAAGAAACCCGGTTTCTCCGCCAGAAGTGCCAAAGTGCCCCAGACCTTTCCGAACCTATACCCCAGCACCGCAGAGAGAAAGCGAGCTGGAGAGGACGCCCCGCGCAGGCGCTCACGCGGCTCAGGCGAGGCTTAGAGGGGGCGGGCAGGAGAAAGGGCGGGGCCGCGTGGGCAGGGCGTCAGTCCCTGCTAGAGGGTTGGGTGTCTAACCCGCCTGCCAGCTTCAGTTCCCTTCTCCGTAGCCCATGCTCCTCCTCTACCATGAATGCCACCTCGGGTGAGTGTCTGAGCGCCCTAATCCCCAGCTGGCCCCTAGTCCTCACCGGGTCAGGTGCTGTGTTGTGCGGGCATGCACTCTGGAAGTTTCTACATCCAGAGACTTCCCCCACCGAAACAGTCCGGGGACAAGATACGGATATGTTTGGGTCATGGTAAGTAAAGCATTCCCAGGATCCAACTTTAAAGGTAATTAACTTATTAACCACAAGAAGTTAATTACATTTAGATTTATTTTGTTGTAAAATCAGATTGATTCATAAAAATACATATAGAATGTGACATGTCACATTCTGACGAGTGTCAGAATTACAGAATGCTTAAGCTCGTCTGATCCGTGAGCAATAGCAGAGTAAACAAATTGCTTGTTACACAGCATGCGTCACTCAGCTCCCCACCATGGTGTTTTTCTTCAGAGGCTATATCATTTACCAACTTTGTGAACCATCTTAACTGGATTTTCCCACTTTAGATAAGTTCGCTTTGTGACATCTACCCCAATACTAGACCAGAGTTAATAACCAAAAGGGAAATAAGTCTTTCAAGAAAAGAAAAAACTTAAAACAAAAAAACCCTTACATAATTGCCTATATAAAGTGTCCATCAGCTGCAAAATGTTTGGTTTAATCTTCCTGGGAAAACCACAACAGTTATGCCCTAGATATTCCCTAGAGAAAATAAATGAATGGGAGGAAAGCTAGAACCAGAAGGATAAGTTTAGCAATTTAATAGTTACCTGATCGACAATGTAGAAGAGTAGACTATAAAAGGCTCTATACTTCTTTATGTTAAATTGTCAGGAAAGAGCATTAAAAGATGGCTGAAAAGAGAGAATTCCTTTCATTCAAATAACGAACATCGTAGAAATAAAAATTAAAAGAGCCTTCCTAACCCCTGCCCCAAGGGAGCCGAGTGTTGTCTTATTAGCACACTGATTCCTCTGGGTTATGTATTTAGAACTGGCTTGTCTCTGGGGAGAGATGTTTAGGATTGAATACAGGGTATCAAGTTTGCTATGGGACAGTTCCATCACTCAGCCACTGAGACTTTCCATAGCAGCCGTTCTCAACCTGTGGGTCGCGACCCTTGTTGGGGGGACTGTCAAACAACTCTTTCACAGGGGCTCTCTGAGACCTCAGAAAACACAGATGTTACATTACAATTCATAGTAGTAGCAAAATTACAGTTATGAAATTGCAATAAAAATTTTGTGGCTGGGGGTCGCCACACCATTGCAGCATTAGGAAGTTGAGAACCACTGTTTTATAATGTGTATATATATATATGTATATATACATATACTACATATATTATATATACAATCTCCATATTCTGGAGGTCTAGGAAGGTGACAGGTGAGCTGTTGTCACCTGGGCTGGAATGCAGAGTCCACCCCTTCTCATTCATATCACCTGGGGAAGCTGTGATTCTTTATCTCACTTTCCCTTGCTACGATTGATTCAGGTTATATCTGTACCAACTGCCAATGAGAATTTCAAATCTTTAAAATTATTATCATTATTATTATCACTACTACTACTTTGTGTGTGTGTGCATGTGTGGATGGTGCACATGTGTGTATGCGTGTGTGTGCGCGTGTGTGCATGGTGCCTGTGTGTGTGTGCATGTGTGGATGGTGCCTGTGTGTGTATGTGTGTGTATGCGTGTGCGTGGATGGTGTGGACAGGCACACTGCCTCACGGTTGTAGGAGTCTCTCCTACCGTTATGTGGGTTCCGGGAATCCAGCTCAGGTCACCAGGTCATGTGATGAGTACCGCCCTAGGTCGTCTCACTTAACATTTTAAGGGCTTTTTGTGCACGGTGGGAACCTGTAAACTGGTGTGATGTATGTTGGCTATACATCAAAATTATTGTATTTAGTTAGTGTGCGTGTGGCAGTCAGAGGGCAGCGTGCCGACTGGTTCCCTCATTCCACTGTGGGCTGTGACTGGGTCTCCTTCCATCATGTGAGTTCTGGGATTGGATCCAGGGTGTCCTGATGTCTTTATCTGCTGAGCTGTCTCGCTAGTCCTGTTACAGTTACGAATTTTAAGCCTACTTGCTAAGCGTTTAACCACATTATCAAATTTATCTATAAATCTATCAAGTTTATGTTAAAATACTTTCATTCTTTGATAAATGCTCAGCGGGCTTACGAATTTACTGCTAAATTTCATATTATATAGTAAGATTTTCTTAAACACTTCATGTTAGTTAGAATAATGTATAGAAAAAGAAAAATGCAAAATCAAATTCCTTTTATATTGAAAATTGTTTATAATTTCAGTTATTAAATTTCTGAAAAATATGAAACTCACACATTGTTTTGTATCTGATTGCCTCTGATATTTCTCAACCCTGAAAGGTCAGACTAGATCCTGTCATCGCGTGGCCCTAATCACGCCAGCCCGGAATCCTTAGTGTAGTCTTCCAGAGTACTGAACCTGCCTTGGAGTGAGTACCCAGCTCTCTCTCGCTGGGACAAAACGTCTGTGCAGACTAACTTGAAAGGAGAACGGGCTCCTTCAGGCTCACGATTTCAGAGGTTTCCATCCACGGTCACTTGCATTATTCTCTGGGCCTATTACAAAACGCATACCATGTGGGAGCCTGTGGCAGGGAGGCCTGCTACCTCATGGCAGCTGGTAAGCAAAGAGGAAGAGAGAGGAAGATGCTGGGGGTGCCAATGTCATCTTCAAGGGCATCCCTCGTTAGGTCACTCACTGTTGTCTATTAGGTTCTTAATCTACCACCTCTTCATAGCACCAAACTGAGGACTGGGTCTTCAACACTTGTGTCTTGTGGGGATGCTCCAGACTCCGGCTGTAGCAGTGGGCCCCAGCCTGCTGAGTTTTAACTTCTGTCTCTGCCACTGACCGACTGTTTCTTTGAGCAGGTTAGGTACTGCTTTGTATTCTGGAAAAGTGTAATAGTGTATCTTTCCCAGAGTTGGGAACTGTCCCTGGTAGGACATTCCCGGGCATTGCTAATCCTCAGCAGCCAGGTTAGCCTATCCAAGCACTTTTCAATGTTCAGGAAGACTCTGATTGGTCAAATGCTAAGAATTCCAATTAAATGTAAAGTGTCAATTTTTAAAAATGTGTTAAATTCTTTAAGACATAAAATATCCTGACATACTGTATACAAAATAGCACAGTGTGTGTGAGTTTTGTTATTGGATCTTACTTAGTAAGTTTAGTGCTCCTTCACATTATACTAACTTCCTCATTGTAGCCATTTGGAGTTAGATTCATTTTCCAATCGGGGGCGATGGATTTGTTTTGGGGCTGACAGTATGGTGTTATATGCTGTCTTAGTTAGGGATTTTACAACTATGAAGAAACACCATGACCAAAAGCAGCCCGCGGAGGAAAGGGTTAATTTGACTTCCATATCCTGGATCACAGTTCATTGAAAGAAGCCAAAACAGGAACCCAGACAGGGCAGGAACCTGGAGGCAGGAGCAATGCAGAGGTCATGGAAGGGTGCTGCTCACTGGTTTGCTCCTCATGATTCGCACGGTCTGCTTTCTTATAGAAGGCAGGACTGCCAGCCTAGAGATGGCCCCACCCAGAACAGGCAAACCTTCCCCCATCAGGCAGTACCGAAAAGAAAATGCCCTACAAGCCTGCCTACAGTCCAGTCTTAAAGAGGCAACTTCTCAAATTAGGCTCCCTCCTCCCAGATGACTCCAGTCTGTGTCAAGTTGACATAAAACTAGCCAGCAGCACCTATGTTCAGGGTTGTCAGTGACTTCAAGGTCACAGAGTTGGGGTGACTGGGCAAAGATTCCTGTTGAAGGCATGAAGCAACCCAGGAGCATGAATGCCTCTTGGGGTTCATCCTCGGCTGACCCCTGGGAACAGCTGAAGTTTGTCTTCCGTTTAGGAAGAATCCAAAGCCTGTGCTATTCAGCTGTGGTTTATTTTCACAACGAGGGCATCAACCTGTCTCCCTGGGAATCCCTAGGAACCCTGCAGAGTTGATCTCTGCCTCGTTTGTGGAGACACCTTTCAAAATGTCCTTATCTGCTGTGGGAGCATGGAGTTCTGCTTCCCTCACTGCAGAGGTCCGCTAATCTCTGCTTATTTAAAGTTAATTAAATTCTTCGCCTCTTTTGTAGTTTGTTTTCTCATCTAGCTAATAAAAGGATTAGTGACATGGAATTAGGATAAGCCTTCAGTCTCTGGTAGGTCGCATGCACATTTAACAGGTGGTAATATTGCCCAATAACTCTCCAGTTTCTTAATGTACACTGCCGTCAACAGTGTGGAAAGAGGCAATGAGCCAGGATGGAGTTCCTCAGATGGGACCTGGCAAGGCAGATCCGCTAGTTCAGGTGGCAAAGCCTGGTGTCCTGAGTATGATCCCCCATGACTCGCCTGCTGGAAGGAGGGAGGAAGTGACTAGCAGTTTGTCCTCTGACCTTTGTAGGGCATTCCCCAACACCACTAAATAAGTAAGTATAATTTTTATATTTTTTTTGGTCGTGATTCTAGCCTTTAACAGCTAAGCCATCTCTCCAGACCATGATGTAATTCTAAAAAAAATATAATTCCTCACACAGAATGAAGAGGGTTATTCCAGGCGGTGGGAATCACACAACTCAAGTTACTGAATTGCTTTTGGGGGAAAAAAAATCACAGTTTGTACACAGCCCTGTTCGTCTCTTCAAATAAGATGATTTGGATTAAATTTGGGCCAGTGACTCAGTGAAGTCCTTAGGAGCACGGATTTAGATGGAAGGAATTGAGACTCGAACTGTTCAGATAGCTTTGTGGCCTGTTTTTTTGTGTTTACGCTTTTCAATAAAATGTAAACATCTTTTTACATCCATAGACTTATGTATTTTTAATGACTATAGAGTATTAGAAGAATCTACAATATTTATGTAAAGAATTCTCTATTTCTGAATGTTCAGATTATTCGACAGAAAGAATAACACAGGGAATATCCTTGTAGCCAAATATTTGCTTCTGTGTTTAATCATTTCCCAGGTACACGCTGCCCGGAGTGGAGTCACCGTGTCAACAGATGCTGACCTTTTCAGAGCTGTGGTCGGAATTCCACTAAGGTGGCTCCAAGTGTGGGTTCTCCTCAACCTGGGAATGGGGTTGCTGCAATATTACACTTGCACACTGTCCTGCTGGCGACAGACCTTTTTACGACCTGTGCTTATAAATTTCACTTTCAAATACTCTTTTTTTTATTCACATATGAAAAGAATGCATGTGGATTATCAAAGTCCAAATGTGAAGAAACACGTGATGTAGAAAGCGAGGGTGCCTGTACCTCTCATTATTCAGAGAGAACAGAATTAGCTTGTAAAGTTGTGAAGCCTTTCAGCTTTTCCTGTGACTACACTAATGTACTATAGGTTAATTATGCATTAATACTTTACGACCTTTTTTCTCCCTCCGTCTCTTCTTTTCTCTTCCCTTTCCTTTGCCCTTCCTTCCCTCCTTCCTTCCTTTCTTCCTTCCTTTTTTTGTGCAGGCTCTCACTATGTAGCCCAGGATGGCCTCGGCTCATCATGTATCCCAGGCTATCCTTGAATTTATGGCACTCCTCCCCAATTCTGGGACTATATCACCACTTCCAGCTTGTCTACCTTCAACAACGTGTCTTGGATATTTTTGACAATATAATTAGATCTCTACCCCCGCTTTGCCTAATTGGTTTTCCTTTTTCTCTGAATTGATCCTTTATATCCTAAGCTTACCTTTATAACCATATAACTAATTATATATAGATACTTTCTTATTGATTGTGCTAACTGTATACATATTAAAGATATTGGCCTTCTGATGTATTTATGAAGGTATTTTCTACAGATATTTTTGAAACGTGTGTCTTAGTCAGGGTTGTATTGCTGTGACGAGACACCGGGACCACAGCAGCTCTTAGAAAGAAAGCATTTAACTGGAGCTGGTTTACAGTTGCGGGGGTTTAGTCCATTGTTGTCGTGGCAGGGAGCAGGGCAGATGTGGAGCCGGAGAAGCAGCTGACAGCTGCCTCCTGATCCACAGGTGGCAGAAGGAGAAACGCTGGACCTGAGGAGAGCTCTTCAGAACCTCCAAATGCACCTCCAGTGACACTCTCCCTCCAACAAGGCCATGTCTTCCAATCCTCCTCGTAGGTACCACCCTCTGGCGATGGAGCATTCAGATCTGCGCTCCTGTGTGAGCTGTTCCTACTCAAACCACGACAGCGTATTTATCTTTTATGTTGTTTTCAAACTCCCCCTGTGCATCTTTGGCCTGCCTGCTTGCTTTCCTGGTTTCCTGTAGGCGAGTCTGCAACTTTACCATGTTCCTTCGCCCTGCTCCTGTTCCTCTCAGCTCAACTCGCCCCTACACCACAGTTTACTAATTACGTTTTTGAAGATATGATACTAAATTAGGCATGATGCCACTTTGGAGGAAAGGCAGGCAGATTTCTGTGAGTTTAAGGCCAACCTGCTCTATGTGATAAGTTCCAGGACTATATAATGGTATCATGTATTAAAATATATATTAGCATACAATTGGTTTTGATCAATAAATTATGTACCCAGATGAGTGCTTCACTCTGTCCTTCCCACTCCTGGCCCTGCCTAAGACTCCAGCAAGGATTGTATTCAAGTTCATAGAAGATAAAGTCTTTGTTGTGTTGGGTTAGGTGGGGGGGGGACATGAAAAATTAGCTTACTCAAGCATTTATGCCTTCAGCACAACACAGAACTGTAATCTAGATGCTGCTTAATTTTGGGTGTATATGTGCATTGGCGTGTGTGTGTTCCTGTGTGTGGAGGACAGAGGTCAACCTCAGCTGTCATTCCCAAGGAGCTATCCGTCTGGTGTTCTGAGGCAGAGTCTCTGGCTGGGATATGGGGCTTGGCAATCAGGCTATACTGGCAGGAAGGGCCCTCCTGTCTCCGTATCCTCGGTACAAGGGATCCAAGTGTATGTGTGTGCCATTGTGCCTAGCTCGATGGAGCACTGATGATGGGTCTTCATGCTGTGCCCAAGTAAAGCACAAAACAGTTTTACACCAGTTTGGACTTATTATTTAAAGGGTTATTTATTTGAGGGGAAAAAACTTACAGAACATCATCCTACACAACAGCCAAGAAAGGAGTCTAGTCGCTGGAACCGGAGTCCGGAGCAAGAGAGAGAGTGGAAGGCTGTCGCTGCTGTTTAAAGAGAAAGAGACCATGCCTCAGTGGGCTGGTATCACAGGCTCAAGGCTAGCCCGAGCTACCCCATGAGACCCTGTCTCCATAAACAAAACAAAAGGAAAGACAGGCAGTAGAAAGGGCAATAGACTTCAGTGTTGTCAGAGGCATTCCTTACAGACGGAATGGGACCTAATGCTCATAATAATTTAATGTAGGGGGGACTGGAGAGATGGCTCAGAGGTTAAGAGCATTGCCTGCTCTTCCAAAAGGTCCTGAGTTCAATTCCCAGCAACCACATGGTGGCTCACAACCATCTGTAATGGAGTCTGGTGCCCTCTTCTGGCCTGCAGGCACACACACAGACAGAATATTGTATACATAATAAATAAATAAATATTTAAAAAATAATAATTTAATGTAGCCAGCAATGAATGAGCAGCTGCAGTGTGCCCAGCACTGTGGTGTTACATCTTCGTGAGGAATTCTTTTCTATTTCAGGAGGTAACTGGGGAGCAATTTGGCAATAGCTAAATTAAAACTTGCCAGTAAGTAAAGGTTTTGATAAAGAAATTTCTCACACAGACTAATAGGAGCATTCATGGAAGTGTTGAAAGGCATTCTCAAGGATGCTCAGGGCTGCAGAGATGGTTCAGGAGTTCAGAGTGCATGTTGCTCTTGCAGAGGACCAGAGTTCAGTTTCCAGAGCCCACTTGGTAGCTCACAACCATCCATTACTCCAGTTCTGAAGGACCTGATGCCCTCATCTGACACCTACAAGCACTACACACATGAGGTGCACATACATGCAGGCAAAACACTCAAATACATACGATAAAAATTAAAAATCTCATTTTTGAAAGATGCTTCCTTTCACAGATGCTTCTGTATTATTTGCAATAGTAAAACATTAGAAATGATCTCAGTATCCATCAGGAGAATCAGAGGGACCTACATATACCAACATGAAAAGATGCCCGAGGTGTAGTGCTCGACAGTAAAAGCAGGCTTCAACAGTAATTGTTTCCTTTGTTTACATAGGTATTAAGTATATGCTCGTGCTGGTAGAAGGCTTACATGAGGAAGTATTAGGAAAAGGCAAGGCTGCAGGGGTTCGTATGTGCAGACACCCATGGCGCTGGAGAGACGGCTGTGTGTAAGAAGGTTGACTGCTCTTCCAGCAGAGCACTTGAGCAGCTGCTGTGCAGGGTAAAAATGTCTGCCACATCGTGAGCACAGCTGCTTCCCAGAGCTGGGGCGGTAAATGTACCAGACTGAGGTAGGCTCTCGGGGAACCAGTCTGAGCCAGATCCAACTGCCAGAGCCACACAACAGCTGAGAAGGCAGCTTAAGGTTTGTCTCAGGTCAGAGAATGCTGTGGACATGGAGGAAGCCGGGTCCACACGCACGCACGCGCACACGCACGCGCACACACTCACACACACACACACACACGCACGCGCACATGCACACAAATGTGCACACGCATGCATACACACGCGCACGCATGCACACACACACACACACAAAATTCTAAAAAGGTACAAAAGATTTTAAAGATGCTTAGGTACTGAAGAAAAAAAGAAAATGGATATAGACAATCATAAAAATAGTTTTAAAGTAACAGTAAAGTCTTTAAAGAGAGTAAATTAATTTAAAAAAAGCCACATAAAGATGAGAAATATGGTGTCTGGCTCCTGTATGGTGTTTTGTTAAATTTTTAAAATGCTAATGTACAGAAAAACAGTAGCTGCTGAGAGACATTAGATTGTGGAAACTGCTAAATTAAGCCAGGCTATATATTTTAAGTATATATATATTCCTTAGCTTAAAAATGGAAGTCAGAAAATGCATTGTGTTGGGGGAGAGGCTATGTCTTTGTTTCACAGGAAACAAAAGGTTTATGGTTCTCTTCAAAATTCATGAACATCAGATTTGGTTGGGGGAGACCTCCTGAAAATCTTGGCTACAGACATTGAAAAAGAAACCAAGAAAGACTACAGGGCAGGTTGCATAAATGATGACCCCTCTACTATGGGAACAGCTCTGGGACCGGAGGAGACATGATACATTTGTTGGCTATAAAGTCCTCGTGCTTTATTATTAAATAATAATATTTATTATTATATATAAATGTCACCCTTTCATATGGCATAGATAGAGGTTTGGTTTTACAGTCCAAACAGACTTATAAAGTTAACAGAAACCTTTTACCTGCTCAAACATAGAAGAAAAAAAATCATCTTTAACTGACTTGTGCACACCACACATTCCATACTTGTGTTAATGCAGATACGTATGTTATCTTTAAAAGGCTGTGTGTTTTCACAACAAAAGGACCAGACACCAATGAGGACACATAGCACAGGTAATCCAGCCTCCCAGAATACCTCTGTTGCAGTGTCTTCAAAATTCTGCATACAGAACAGCTTCAAAGCTCCTCGCTGTGATGGTCCAGCCTCACAGACTACTCCAGCCAGGACCTCAGAGAAGCCCTGCATTACCCCATCACACTGAGGCTGGTCAACAGCTAGCTCCTCTACGACTTGATCATTATCCCAATTTTCTCAGGGTCCCCTAAAGATGCCGTTGCCCCAAACAACAGGAAGCAGTCTAGAGAAAACAAGGTCCACATTCCCAAGACGTGTGGTGGGTGGCTTTTGGTCATTTGGTGGGTTGTGGATGTTTGACATTGTTTATGGGGGTTGGTTATAAGTTGTTGTCGGTCATGGCCAGAAAAAAATCTAAACAAAGGAGATTATATTAAGGGATCTTTTTCTGAACATAGAAGGGGAGATATAGTATAGAAATAGTGGGATAAAAGGATGGATTGTTGAGTATACTTTTGAACAGTCACTAGTCTCAAATATTTTATGTTGGTATATTGACACAAGTTTAAGGTTATTTTTGTTAGACTGTATATAAGCTTTTACTCTTGTTTAAGGTATTGTATCTATACAGCTCATTTTGCTCTAAAGAGATGTAATTGGTCCTAAGGATCATTAATTTTACCGAACTGATATATAATTGACCATATGGTTTAAGATGCAAGGTCCATTGTTTATCCAATCAGAATGAGAATTAAAGGCCCTGTCATTGCTAGTAGCAAGGTAGTTATCCAGGGCGGACAGAAACTGGTACCGATTATCTGATTTACGCCTTTGCCTCTTGCCCCTTTTGATGATTTTTCCAAACATGGCAGATTGTCTCTAGTTACTCCTGGTCAATTAGCATAGAACAACCGGGTTCTCTCAAAGCTAAAAGCAGTTGTCTTTATCTCATGAGAAGTTAAATCAAAGCCTCCCTGATTTTGTAGGACCATTTCTGTAAGAGAATCTGTTTGTTTTAGTTTAGAAATGGAAACTTTTAATAACTCTAGTTTCTGATCAACCTGTCTACTTACTTTGGAAATCATGAGAAGAGGCACATTTAGTCAAACCATTAGTGCATGCCTACTAAGTGGTCTCAGAGGTTCAGGAATACTGCTGTGGTCTAGATGAATTAAACTATAAATGAATAGTGGACATCAGAATAGGGGAAACTGCCTAGGTTAAAGGTTTTGGATATTAGGTAAATTTTATCCCCTTATAAATTCTCTAACATTAATTTAGGCTGCTGCCAGTCACAGTAAATTTTGTCAGTCGGTGGACTGGTAGTCTGGTTAGTTAGTAGGAGGGGCTGGTGTCTAAGCATGGCCAGCAATCCTGGCAGGTTTCTTGCTGGGAATGGTTTGCTCTATCTCCAGGGTCTCAATCTGGAGTATCAAGTACAAGTCTTCAGGTTTTCCCTGTTTTCCAAAGGACAGAATCTTTCTAATGGAATTTCTAGATTTTTAATTTTATCGCTATTGGATTAGATTTTCGTATTGTGTATTTCTTGGGTGGAGACTTTCTTTTTATATATTTATTTGTGTGTTTTTAGGAAACCTCTGTTTCACAACCCTGATTTTTGCAATGGAAATTCTCTTGTTTCTAGCAACTAGGAACCTAGCCACTGAGTGTGCATAGAATTTTAAATTCTGTATTCCTATCTCAAAAGATAAACTCCCACACATTGCCTTTCTCTGATAAAACAAGACTTTTAGAGTAAGCACCAGTGAGCAAAGGCCAAGATGATACCTGTTGTGAAATATTCCTTTACAGTGTGTGAAGATATGTCACTGTGATTGGTTTAATAAAAAGCTAAACAGTTGATAGCTAAGCAGGTTTTTGAGGTAGAGAGAATGCTGGGAAGAGGAAGAATGGAGAATCCAGACAAACAAGGAACAAGTTGGACATACAAAATGGGATAGAGATAAAAGTCACATGGTAGAACATAGATTAATAAAAAGTATGGGCTAATTTAAGTTATAAGAGCTAATTAAGTATAAGTCTAAGCCATCAGCCAAACTTTCATAATTAATAAAAAGTCTCCATGTGGTTATTTGCGAGCTGGCAGGTGAGACAGAAAAATCAACCTGCAGATACCTTCTGTGTATCTGTCTTCCTCAGTTTCCAGGTCCTGGCTTGAGAGCAGTGGGGTGTGGGCCATGTAGTCATACATACCAAACATAAGACTCAGGAAGTGTAACTGAGGTATGCAGAATGTGTCAGGAGACACAGAAGAAGCAGGATGGGCATGAGATGTGTCTGCTCCTAATAGCACCAATCTACTTCAAAAAAGGGACAATGGGCATTGAAGAACCTCCATATGGAGTTTGCTTTCATTGTGGCAAAGTCAGCCACTGGGAAAGAAACTGCCCTTGCCTCAATCGCTGACAGCTTGGTGTCCAAACTGGACAAACAGGGCACAAAGAAGAAAACTGCCAAACTTTGCCGAGACAAAGATGGACAGTCCTTCAAAATTCCTTCTTCATGGAAAAGACTGCCAGATACTCTAGGCATGAAGGTTGAAGGTGGATGCCCCAACGTTACAGAGGAATCTTGGGTGATTATCCAGGCCACCAGCTGTTTCTGTCATTTCTCTGGTTTTCGAAGTTGCTTGCTTCGCACTTCCTATTTAACCAGCTAATATTTTATCCTTCTTGGGTCTCTGGTAGGGATTGAAGACTAGATAGTATACAGTTTTCCTTGCTACAAAATTCAGGAAAAAATAACTTACACAGAGATATAAAGTTTATAAGGTTGAGAAACATAAAAGCTTCAATTGTTCATTTAAGAAGATGATTTTAGCCGGGCAGCAGTGGAGGCACTTGGGAGGCAGAGGCAGGCAGATCTCAGTGAGTTTGAGGTCAACCTGGTCTACAAGAGCTAGTTCCAGGTCAGGCA